CATTTCTTTCAATATGTAAATATATGGCTTAAGATTGTATTAAACCTCTAGCATATCAATCAATTTTGGGAGAAGTTGCAAATTAAGAAACATGGTGCAGTATTTATGGGACACCCTCTAGAAGGTTACGATATTTGATCTCAAGGCCATAGCGTTCTTTAATTGCTAGTGCACTTAAAAAGCTTAACAGGCTCTATCAGGCTTCTTAAGCTTCTTCTTGAAAAGCGTGTTTATTTCTGGCATTAACATATTACAATCGGTCCAAAAATGTGATATAACGGAGATAGCGAAAATATAAGAAAATTGTGAGCTCGAAATAGAACACCATCTACAATCTTAAATTATAACGTTTTTTGAATTAAGTGGAGTACATGGCGCAAACTTCATCTATGGAGAGTTTCTACTGGTGTGGCGGGAAACGATGTGAATAGCATTGCAATAATATAGTACATGATATGCTAGACATATGTGCAGACATGAAAGTTTAGTAACCAAAGGTGGTATCATATTTCCTCCCACGATGGCATTCGCCCTTACCCTGTGATCCCGAAGGAGTAATCTATCCTCCTTCGCCATCCTTTACTTTTTCGTGAGATGGTTACGATAAGAGGGCGCTCATCAAGCAATTCGAAACGCTTATGTCCCATGTGTTCGCTTCTAAGAACCCAACTTTCTCCCAAACAGTCAGAATACCTCTTCTGATGCCCGCCAAATTGGATAGCCGAGTTTTTGCATCATAACGACCGGAATGGAATATCTAATATATTTTTGAAGAAAAACTGGGTTCTTCGGCGATGTACACCGCTGTGCTTCGCTCCACTTCGTTGAGCGAGCAACTTTGCGCATTAAACTAAAAGCAAGGGCGCTATCGCAAGATACAGGGGCATCGTGGTGACAAAGCATTTGAAATCGCGTAAAACATGTCCTTTTTGTTAAAACGGACCAAGCCTTAGGCGGGGGAGGAGAGACTCCAGGGTGTGTTAGCATTTTCATCATCACCTAAACTCCTGCCCCCTCCTCGGCTCAATCCTAGAGGATGCCCCCGTATATTGCGGTAGCGCCAAAGCAAATCCTGAGTGAACTATTCAGCAGAACACGCGGGATTCTTGTGCTCCTGCTAAGTAACAGTCCAGAAACCAGCCAGTAACTAGCCCGGTTGGCAAGGCCCTGGCACTCTTGTCGCGCAGTCTCGAGCCATGCGAGCGGCTGATCTGTGGCTTTCATGTACAGCCCTATCCACCCAAGAGCGGATCAGCGTTTTTCTTAGAAAAACTTGGGTGGGTTTCGTACCTTCGAGAATTGCTTGCAAAGGTCTTCGATAGTGTCGGCAATTCAGAACGAGTTAATGGCACCTAAAGGAAGGGGTCACGATAATTCTCTTAGGGACGATAAGGAAGCTGTGTACTGGAGTGGATAGGGGTCCTGCCCAATGTAGAGGCATCAAGCGGAGTGATAAGGCGCCGAAATCCACTTCCGGTTAGCAAAAACCAAGACTTATCGATGTGGAAAGGGGTGCGATAAGAGCGTGCTAGATATGATACCGTTATCGTTATCGTCCCGTTTTCATTCTGGAGTGCACCTCTTATCAAGCAGCCGCACCTTCTTATCTCATCGTATCATATCTTCCATGGGCTTACACTCGTCCAAAATTACTATCTCACACCTTATCGATTGATAACGCGAGGGTAGCAAATCCAGCGTGGAAGCCAGCGTGATCGCTTCCTTTAAAGGAAGTG